CCATAGTCTTTGCTCATTAATTTAATACAAAATAAACTCAGCCATGTAATTACGCATTCACTGATTTGAATTTAAAAATGAAGGTAATTGGCACTCTCAAGATATATAGAAACATATGTGTACCTAATAAAGCATCAATTTCTACTACATCTCTAAGAATACGCTTTTTTGTGATAGGGACCTGTCCAACAACAAGTTACAGGATCTTCCACCAAAAATATTTGCTGGCATTCACGCATCTGACTTTGGAAAAATAACACTGTGAGTAAGATTCTTCTTCTGTAAATCAAACTTCTTAAAAAAAAAAAAGAAAGAAAAATGAAAAACCAATAAAAATAACAGAAGTTATGCGAGGAGCCAACATCCACAAGGAGCCATCTCTGTATACGTGACACTTACTGCCTATATGATCCCATTACGTTTCTTGTTTCACAAAGGTTATGTTAGGGATAACGGTGACAAAATAGTTTTTCGTCATATTTTACATATTATCTTTTTTTTCAAAATCAGAAGAAATCCACATTATCACGCGCATTTATCTAAGAGTTCATAACAATAATTGCTGAGAGGTGTGACCAGAAAGATTTAACAAAGAAAGAAGTCGTGTATGTGCTCTGTTCTGTTATAAATTATAGCACGCAGGAAGTGGTTAGAGCACGAAAGAAGTGTGGGAGGAAACAAGAGACGTAGTCGAGTGTTTCTGCCTTCTTATTAAGTGATGCGCAAATTCTGTAACATCTTCAAATGAACATAACAATTTAAGAGTTAAAATATTACGAGCAACTAAAGCTAGAAGAGAGACAGGAACAGAAATTAAAAGTTATTACAAAGACTACATTGTGATTAAAACAAAAATTTGTACTAAAATAAATCACTATGATAAAAACGCCCGTCTGATTAAAAAGGCGCGCTTTTGATTGTATTTGCACTTCCTATGTCTGGTGGGAGTGCACTCTAGAATTTTGAGACAGAAAAGTAAACATTGTTCACCTAGGCTACCGTAAGACTGAAAACATAAATTACTAAGAAAGAGTCTATTACTAGAAATTCTTGGATCGTATTTTGGTAAAAGGAGGCTAAGAAATTTCATTTAAAGAATCTAAAGTAAAGTAAAGGTGATTGGAACTATTTTAAACTTCATTCTATTTCTTATCGGTAGCCAACGTAATTAAAAATAAGCGACTATATGTGGCAAAATCTTTTTTCTCTGAAATTCAGTCTAGCCCGAGTATTCTTTATCCGCTGCAGTTAGGGTATAAAACAAACTGGTGATACATGCAGAAGGCTGTGTTCGATACTTTTCATTGCAACAAATGCGTCCATATCAAATGATCGTAGCTTCCTAAAGGAACTGAATATGGTTAACTTTAGGAGTAGTTGAGATGTTTTCAGTTTGAATAACAGTGTCAGATTATCCTAAACCAGGATGTCAGGCAACGTTGACGACTGATAAAGTTATCTGAGTTCCGCGTATTTATCAGATCCTGTATACGGCCCAGTCACACGTTGAGTTAATAATATCAACTCCAATAAATCCTCAAGAAAATAACAAGCCGCCGTGTCTTTGTGATCATCAACTAGTCACAGGATTGGTTCTTAGAGTACGGTCGACTATATGTTATGACAAGTCTGAGGCGTGAAGATTTGGTGCAGACGAGATAGTCGGAATATTCAAAAGACGTTCTTGAACGAAATTATAGAGTTTGCGAAAAACCGACCAAAAAGCAGCTTATTTTTTTTTTAAATCTTGTTTTCTTTCTCTAAATGTCAAATTTCCTCGTTTTCTTGTTCAAATGTCTAAATGATGTTACCGATCTCAATGTTCATGATTTTGTTTCCTTTTTTCTATCCCACGGGCGGTGCCTCGCCTCAATTTTCATCTTATACCATATCAGTATTGTATGAGTCATACCCAATGAAGCTGTGTAAAAAAAAGGACAGAAGAGGCGTACTCTCACTTTCGCGAGCCCTTTTGGGGCAACTAAATAGCTCGAAGCCAGGTGAAGCTATCGCATTGCAGATTACTGGGTCGTTATCCGATAACAAGGTTTCAGATTTTACAAATAAGTCAGTTTTACATTGATAGACGTAATCAGCAAATAATGCAGATTTGTTCGCAATAGAGCGAGCATTAAACGTACACACAGTCAGATGAGTATAGCCGTTGTTGTCTGATGAAGATCGGATACACACTTTATCTGCGCAAGATTGGAATGGTTGTAATTGTTCCGTCTACATTTAAAAGTACAGCTATTTGTTGTTAAATTCGTGATAAGTGGACCAGGACTCGGACTAATGTCGCAACTGGTTGCTGAGCGAAGACGAGTGAAGTTGAAAGTGGAGCATGGTGTGTAAGATCTTCGACGACTGAGTAAAGTCACTATGCCTTCTTGTAGAGGATGAAATTCCAAGATGGTGGGTCGAAGTCAACGCTAACCGATGGCTTACATGATGCATATTTACTCCATCCTAGGCCTCTGTACCTTGATAAGTTTTTATAGAACGACATACACAGGAATGAAATTATCCGGATAAAATAATGCGTGATTTAAACAACAGTGCGAGCGAATAGAAAACGGAGGCTGCTTGAGCCGGTCATACAAATGACGACTTTACTCCACTGCGCAAACTGATCTGTCTCTATATGTTGCATACACACATGCTCATTTGCCACTGTGATAAGCAGCCGTTTCTCGATTCTATGGTTCAGCTGTCTCCAGCCAAATCTGATTTCGCAGTCTTAATCTGTGCTTCGGTGATTATTTTCCTTTCCAGCCGCTCGCTGCTCTTCAGTCAAACTCACAATATTTAGAAATAACTTTCACATTCTCGATACAATGAGACTAAGAATAATCCGACCGATCACGCCCCAGGGAGGTGCCGGGAAATGACGAGGAACTAATCAAATCTAATTGTCTCAGATGGCCTACACTCTTTTACGAGAGAGTATTTCATTTTTAGGAGGAGAAATTTTCGATATTCAGATATGAGATCCTTGAGTCAGGGTATTGTGCGTACGACTACAGCCAAGAAGAAGTTTAGCCACATCGACGGCGTGTCAAGGTTCTCCGACTGGGAAAGGGCAGTCAGACTGATAAATTATATGAGAGGAACTTTCATTGAGAACAAGTTGAAAATAGTCACCACCACAGCAGCCGAAATACGAGAAACTGAAAAGCTAATCTTTTTATAAAGAATAACAACAGACAACATTCAAGAATTAAGTATAAGCCGAAAGGAATGGAACGCTGAAAAACAAAAGTAAAAGTTCCCTATTTAGGTTGGATCCGATGATCCAAATCAATGGTCGATCGATTATCAAGGAACGGTGAGAGTTGGTACTGAGGAGGCTTGAAAATTCCGCCTTACCATTCAGCGTTAGACATTCGGTAGTCTTAACGCAGCGTTTTCAATTAACATCTTATAAAAACCCAGGAAAAGCAATGAGCACGAACGAGTTTCGCTCTCATCTCGTGTAGAAAATCTACATTGTTGTAAAAAGTAAGTTTTGACACAAATGACTTATATAATCACATACGGTAGTGGTGCCCTGAACACCATTTCGTGCGAGGTACTATGGACGGAGAGAGGAGAGAGCTGGGCGGACAACTTCGCACTCAGTGAGAATCAGGCAATAGGTGTTTGAACGTGGCGCGCGAATATCTTCATTTGCGTTAATTGTAGGACAGCAGTTTTTAGAATTCACGCGTCCACTTACGAGGCATGCAGACGATACAGCCAGGGAGTTTCATTCGAAGAAAGATGAAGCACTTTGCCAATGGCTGCAAACCTGCTAAAAACCAGCTGCAACCAGCAAAGATGTTGTCTGGCTCGGAGCTGATTTGCGACACTTTCGCGTGACACTTCTTGAGAGTAAAATTATAGCAACATAAACTCAAAATAAGGGAGGCAGAGGGATATTGTACAGACGCGTTCAGACTAATGATCATATGAAGTGGAACTACATTAAGACGCTTTACAAATAAACAGAGTCTAAGTGAGGAGTCAGCTCCTAAAACATTCATTGGCATCAAGGATGATCAACGTGATCATCAAGATTCAAAGTTTTGAGCATGTATTTCAGTATTTGACCGAGCTTTGCCCATCTACTATCGTTGTAAAAGTCTATCGATGGAAAACTTAGCAGAACTCCATAGTGTTTGCTCATCAATTTAATACAAAATAAACTCATCTATGTAATTGAATAAAAAGGGCCCGAAAAAAATTCAGGTCTGTACGGAATTTGAACCTTAATTTCACTACCGCTTGAGTAATGTTCATTAATGCGAGGATCGCTTCCATATTCATTTGTTTATTCGCAGTTCACATATATGATTTTCATATATTTACAGTCATTTAGTCTCTACATTACTGCTCAAGACCACATAAATACAATCGGCACTAAAAACGCCCAGTGCAACCGTTATTCTTGTATGGATGGCACTCAATAAAAAATTAGTGCTCGTGGCTCAAATGAAAATTCAGTTAATTTTAAGTACGATAATAAATCTTTGTTGAGATTTCCGAAGAAATTTCACATGAAAGGTATGTGCTAATATCAACGTTACTTTTCATCGTTTTGACTGAAAGATTCTCTCTGGTCACTTGTCGTTTCAATAAACTATTCGGTCTTATCACCAGCGAGATAAAAGGAATATAACAACAGGTGATTTAAAATGTGTCCTCCATTTCTTTCAATTCGTGAGTTTTAATTATCGACAAGCAATTAATCTGAATCAAAGTATCAGCTATCTTTAAAATTTGCACCACTGCTCAGAAAACCAGATGGTGTGAAACGTTGGCAGATTAATCGAACAATGTTATTTTGCATTAGGATCTAAGGGTAGAGTAACTTGATCTAATTATCCACTAATGTGAGGTAAATACAAACGTTAATGTTATTATTTTGAAAAAGTGTCGGGAGCTTTCAAGATGTAGGAAAACACACATGTCGCATACAGCAGAGTTCACACTTTGTTAAAATGACTTATTTATTCCAGGGACTTGTCCAACAACCAGTTACAGGATTTACCACCAGGAGTGTTCGCTGGCATTAGGGTTTCCTACGGGGGGACGTTGACGCTGTAAGTAAGACTCCTATACTACAAATCAACGTCAATGAAAAGCAAAGCAAAAAATCAGAAATCAATAAATTGAAATTAAATGTGGTTAACTATGAAGCCAAACATCCAATAGCTCGAGCCACCGTTTTCTGACCGCCTATAACTGCTTAATAAGATCACATAAAGTCTCTTGTTTCACAAAGTTTGTATTATAGCTGACGGTAACGAAATAGTTTTTTCGCCGTGTTGTTACTGTTTAATCAGTAAAAATGATTGCCCCTAAGGGTTCCTCAAAGTAAGTGTTAAAATGTGTGTCTAGAGGAGTTGAAAGGATATATCTTTTTATGATGATTTTAAATATTTCGTTAAGATTATCAATTCAATTCAATAAATGAAGCTGAATAAACAATGAATCGATTGTAATCACGAGCGACGATTATCCTTATGAGACATTTCAAATCGGTAAACAGCTTCAGATGTTTGAATGACGGACCATGCAGGGGTCAAATGATGGCACATAAAGTTTATTTTAACAATCTGTTTATTACTTCTTCAAATTTTAGATTTCATTTTCATTCCAGCCAAGTAATCGAAAAATTGTGTCTCATGGTTTTGAAATCATTACCTCTACTTGGATGTGCAGATAGTATCAACCTCAGAAAATGCAAATAAACAATGCTATTCGGCCTTAGGTTAATAGAGAATAATACATGGGCGCGCGTAGATATGGAATTTCTCTTCGAATATTTAACTCGATAGCTCACGAGTGAGCGCAACGAATGAGTGAGATGTCGAGTTGAACAAGAGAAGAGAAACTCCATATCTACAAGCAATCATGTATTATTTTGTTTATCACATAAACACAACAGCCCTTTACTGGGAAGAAAAGCCGACTTCATTAATGAATGAAAATAAATGAATCGACAATCCTTGAATAACAATCGTAGAGTACGTTGGCGCTGACTCTTAAGATGGAAAAATGCGTTGAATCATGATTACAAAAACGACAATAGTCGTAATTTTCGATTTACAAAATTCCGATTTATTGACTTTGTCCTTACAGACAGAAGAAGTCTTTCAGGTAAACAGCCAAAATCGGCCAGTGGCAAATCTTCCAGTTGTCGATTTTCATTCTCAGCCGAGAGAAATGCTAACATCAAAGCCACTGAATACGCAACTTTGGGTTTTTCTTTTAGTAAATTGGTTTTCTTCCCCTTTCTTTCTTTTCTTTTCTTTCGGTCGCTTCGAAGACTTGCTTTTTTTGCAAAATACGTGAATAAATAAGCACGTTGTATCGAGGTTTCTTTCAAACCGATAGAACGCTTTTGCAAAATGCCGCGTACGAACGATTCCAGTCGATAGAACATGTCTGTGGTGGAGCTTTTTATCGAAATTTTCAAAAAGAGAAACTGTCCGAATCAGCTGTTGTAATATATAGATTTTGAAACGAAGCACGAAACCATCTTTTTACAGTGTCAGCCACTGTTTTATCGATAGCTCAACTCTAGTTTGTTCATAAGCATATTTGAAGGGTATGTTTGAGTATTTCCCCATCTTTTATTTTGGCTTGGTTCTCTTAACAGAAATAGATAGCGAAAATGTTTTCTTCTTTCTGCATTGCTTACGGTGTCGAAGTTTATCCTGCTCTGGCCCTTTAAACCCCTTTCCGGTAATGCGAAAGTGCGGCTTGATTGTAAACACAAGAAACTTCTTTAGTTGCGTTGATTATTTGAGCTGTGGTACCGTCGCACTGGATTAAATGATATGTAAGTTTTTTACCCAAAACTGACGTTCCATCCCGAATTGGAAAGACACTCTAGGGCGCTGGGTAGCAAGTGGAATTTACACAAAGGCAACACAGTTTATTCAGTCCAGCGGATTTGACATCATATCAAGAAAAAAGTCAATAATCGTCTTTACCTTGTACCACTACTCGATTCCAAGATGGCAGGAAGCGATTGTGTCTCGGAGTATTGCTCCTCCTTTGGTGGATAGCATTCAGACATGAGCGTGGCAACACTTACTCCTGGAATATCTGATTAACAAAGCTACACCATGGCAATGATAATACTGGGGCGTTTTTAACGATGATAAGGATAATAATAATGATAATGATAATGATAATGATGATGAATCTAGATGCGCAAATTCCATAACATTTTCAATTGCGCATCACAGTTTAAGAGTTAAAATATTACAATCAAATAAAGCTATGAAGAGAAGGGAATATGAAGGAAAGGTTACCACAAAGACATCATTATAACTGACAGAGAAATTTGAATTACAATAAAACGCTCTGATTAAAAATGCCCATCTAAAAAAGTGCGATTTCGATTGTATTTGCACCCCCTATATTCAGAGGAGGTGCATTCAAGAATTTAAACAGAACGGTAAAAATTTTGAACCTACAGGCTAGCTTCAGACTCTAATAACAAGGAATCTGTTATTAGAAATTCTGAGATCATAGCTAGGTAAGAAGGAGCCCAAAATTTTTTAATTTTACGAACCATAAAAGTAGTTAGAACCATTTCAAACTCCTATCTGTTTCTTATCGGTAGCCAACGTAATTAAAAAATAAGCGATGTTAGATGGCAAAATTTTTGTTCTCTAAAAATCAGTCTAGCCCAAGCATTCTTTATCCGCTGCAGTTTAGGTATTAAAACAAACCGGTGATACATACAGAAGGCTGTTGCAGTAGACTATTCGGGTTGTAATGAACGCACTCATGAAGGCCTCAGTTGATTGTTGTGAGAGATATTTCCTAATGAGGTGAATATCGTAGACGTCAAATGAAAAGCTGCGTATATTTGTGACGTGTGATGGCATAGACAGCCTGGAATCAAACCAGACACAGAGATTTTACCGCTAGCGATGGGCACAGATTTGATGTTCGAGTCACCAACACGAGCACCGACAGTTATCCAATTCTCCCCTATTGTGGTGTCCCAATAATGAGGAACTCGGTCTTGTTGTCGTTCAGTTTAAGATTATCGTTCAACATCCATGAACGGATGTCCCTTACCTAGTGTTCGATACTTTTCATCGTAAGAAATGCGTCCATATCAATTTATCGCAGCTTCCTAAGTGAAACATGGTTAACTTTAATGGTGGTCGAGTTGCTTTCAGTTTGAAGAGCAGTGTCAGATTATCCGAAAATAAGCATACGTTGACCCCTGATAAAGTTATCCGAGTTCCGCGTAATTATCAGGTCCAGTACGTGGCCCAGTTCATGTGTTGATTCCGAAACACGTTGAGTTAATGATATCGACTCCAATAAATCAAAGAAATGACAAGCCGCCGTGTTATTGTGATCATCAACGCAGATATCGAAACTTAAGAAAAGAGGATCACGAGATAAAATGATAGGTTCCAAGAAGTCTGAAAATTCCTCAACAAAACCGATAATAGTCACAGGATTGGTTCTTAAAGGACGGTCGACGATTTATTATGAAAAGTCTAAGTCGTGATGATTTGGTAGAGACGAAATAGTCGGAAAATTCAAAAGACGTTCTTAGACGAAATTAGAGTTCGCAAAAAACCGACCAAAAAGCAGCTTATTTTTTTAATCTCGTTTTATTTCTTTTAAATGTCAAATTTCCTCGTTTTCTTGTTCAAATGTCTGAATGGTGCTACCGATCACAATGTTCATGATTTTGTTTCCTTCTTTTATTTCACGGGCGGTGCCTCACACGGGTCTTTGTGTCCCGTTCACATCAGGCCTAATAGGTCCACGACTGTTTTTGTCTGCTTTGCTCTCTCGTTCATTGTTCTTGCTGTGTCCTGTATTTTCGATTGTTATTGTACATTGTATTATTTTATTATTATTATATGAGTCATACCCAATAAAGCTGTTAAAAAAATAAAAGGAAGAAGAGTACCCATGATTTCACGGGCCCTTTCGGGGCAACTATAAATAGCTTGAAGGCAGGTGAAGTCATCGCATTGCAAATTACAGAATCGTTATCCGATAACAAGGTTTCAGTGACTACAAATAAGTCAGCATTACATTAATAGACGGAATCAACAAATAATGCAGATTTGGTGGCAATAGAGCGAGCATTCAGCGTGCACACAGTCAGATGAGTAGCTGTTGTTGTTGTCTGATGAAGACTGGATACGCACTTAATCTGAGCAAGATTGGAATGGCTGCCATGGTTCCATCTTCAAAGTACAACTATTTGTTGTTTAAGTCGTGACTCGAACTAATGTCGCCACTAGCTGCTGAACGAAGGCGAGTGAGGTTGAAAGTGGAGCATGGTGTGTAAGATCTCCGACGAGTAAAGTCGCTATGCCTTCTTTTAGAAGATGAGATTCTAAGATGGTGGGTTGAACTCAACGCTCAAGGTCAACACATGTTTTTCGGGGTGTGGGATGAGGCTTAAAATCGAGGCAGGATGTGGGATACGAGATCTGTAAATGCGTGATGCGGGATGAAAATAGGAAGGCAATACCGGGATACGATCCTTTTCGAAGGCGGAATAGAGGATAGGACTCGTATAGGCGGGATCATAAAAATATTTATTTACTTTAGAAATGGGCTTAATTAATGCTCCCGTGTAAATTGAGGTTGACAGGACTGAATGATTCCGTAGTACGTCCAGTTTTCTCTGCACAAGTGTTTATACGAATCTCCATGGTTATATTTTTGTTCTCACGAGTATTTCTGAGTGAACGCCTCGTTCTGTATGGTAGTAACGGCGGTTATTTGAGGATTTCTCTTAGCAACGATTGTTGCTGTACTAAGTGCCACTTGTTCGTGAGGATTTCTTTAAGGTGTGGAAATGTTGGATAGTATTGTGTTATTATAAAGGGCAAGATTTTATTGTTTGTATCCCTGTTGGAGGAGGGCCCGTTTACGACCAGTTTAAATCTTAAACTGTGCTTCGGTGAGCGTTCACACATACTTCTTTGTCACTGGGATTACTAAGTCGACTCTAAAGTTATCAAAAAAAAGAACCAACAAATTTGATTTCGCAGTATTAGCCTGTGCTTCGGTGAACATTTTCCTTTCCAGCCTCACGCTGCTCTTCAGTCAAACTCTGAACTTATGAACACATTCTCGATACATTAACGCTAAGAATATTCCAGCCGATCACGGCTCAGGGAGGTGCCGAGGAAATGACGACGAACTAATCAAATCTAATTGTCTCAGAGGGCCTGTATTCCTATGGGAGAGAAATTTCCATTTGTAGGCGGAGAAAGTCTTGATATTCAGATAGGAGAACCTCAAGTTAAGGCTATTGTGCGCACGACTGCAGTCAGGAAGAATTTTAGCCGCATCGACGGCGTGTCAAGGTTCTCCGACTGGGAAAGGGCAGTCAGATTGATAAATTATTTGAGAAGGACTTTCATGAAGAACAAGTTGAAAATAGTCATCACCACAGGAGCTGAACTACGAGAAACGGAAAAGCGTATATTAAAAGAATAGTAACAGATAACGTTCAAGAATTAAGTCTCAGCCGTAAGGAATGGAACGCTAAAATCAAATGTAAAAGTTCCCTATCAAGGTTGGATCTGACGATCAAGGATCGATGATCGATCGATGAACAAGGAACGGTAAGAGTTGGTGGGTGACTAGAGAATTCTGCCTTACCATTCAGTGATAGACATCCGATAGTCTTAACGCGGTGTTCTCAAATAAGCACGCTCATTAAAAGACCAAGGAAAAGCAATGAGTATGAACGAGATTCGTCCTCATCTCGCGTCGAAATTCTTTGTTGTTGCAATAAGTATATTTTCGCACAATTGACTTATCCAATCACATCCCGAGTAGCACACCCTGAACACGAATTCGTGCGAGGTATTTTGGACGGGTAGAGGAGAGAACTGGGCGGACAACTTGGCACTCAGTAATAATTAGGCCATGGGTGTCTAAATGGGGAGCGCGAATATCTTCATTTGCGTTGTACGACAGGAGTATTTAGAACCACGCGTAGGCATGTGAGGCATGTAGATAGTACAGGCGGGGCGTATCATTCAAAGAACGAGAAGCCTTTTGCCAATGGCTGCAAATCTGCTAAAGACCGGCTGTTATCAGCAAAGATGTTGTTCACATTAGCTTAGGGCTGATTCGTGACACTACTTAGTTACTGTTGCGTTGCGATATTATGATTGACCTTTGCACCGGTCATGCGTGTTTTCACTGTCTTCCCAAAACTGTTGTTACGTTGTGATAAATAGATCAGGTAGAAGGTTAAACTTTTACCTTACCGTTTATCGTGTTTAATTCGCCCGAAAAATCACCCGTCGGTAATGAATGGGAGATGCATAAATCTTTTTATGCAGCACCAGTATCAAGTATAAAAAATGTATAAAACATGCGCAACGAAAAAAAATACTAAACAATACTACACACCAAAATGCCTAATAAGTTATTTATTACCTAGTTTTTTTCTTCTGCCAAGTGTTTCTACTCATTTTCCAAAAGGCGGGAAAAGTAAAGCGGTTAGAGAAGCGAAGTGCGTGCAGCCGACCGGTTAAACAAGCCATTTTTTTTACAGTACAAAATAACCAACTGTACAATACCGCAGGCCGGATATTTGTGATTCACTTGTGCTCTTTTCGCGCCTTATTTGTACTCTACTTCGTTGCAGTTGGATATAATTTTGAAATGAAGGATTTTGTTCTACAGCTTAAAATGTTTAAATGAAAGACCATTGGGAGGTTGAAAGATAGCACGCCCAGTTAATTTAACATTCTTTTAATACTTCCCTAAATTTAAAATTTCATTTCAACTCCACCCAGTTAATTGAAAATCGTCCGTCTCGTGATTTTGAAATTGTTACTTTTGGTTCGATCAGTAGATGTTACGTCATTCAGAAGTAAACAATATTATTCAGCCCCAGGATAAGTTTACATCAATAAACAGCTTCAGTGCGGTTAAAGCCAAGTTAAATTTTAGTCAATGAAGATATATTCCATGATACAAAAATAACCCTAACCAGTCAAATCATATCAAGATGTAGTAAAACATTTTTATTCATTATGCGGAACGTTATCCCATGGTTTGTAGCTTACATTTTGTTGTTATTGTTGATTTTAGGGACTTGTCTCACAACCAATTAAAGAATCTATCCTCAGAAGTTTTTAGCGGAATTGACTTGTTCTCCTTTTCCTCTATGACGCTGTAAGTGAGACTGTTGAACTTTGATTTTATAATTGTTTAAAGGGACCAAAAGTAGATCAAGGTCTACAACTTACCCAGGTAAGTGTTGGGATGAAATGGGAGGA